AGTCAGAAATAAGGGTATTTAGCAAATATTTCGGAGCCACACCAAGCGACTACGTGAATGTCGACATTCTCCAGATTTCAGAGTTTCACCGTTACATATATATATAATGCAAATTATTATTATTTTTTATCATTTCTTAGAATATCACAAAACAATATAAGTTATTTAACATATTAACAGATTGTAGAGAATCCAAGAAACATATTATTTTCACCATAATATTTATTTTCACCATATGCTCCTGCACCCCAGAGCCCAAAGGTCAAGAAAACTGAGATGGGCACAGTCGGCCTTGGCCCTCTTAATGGGCTGTCGCGCCACTGAAGTAGTATTTATTAAACTATCNACATATATATAATGCAAATTATTATTATTTTTTATCATTTCATAGAATATCACAAAACAATATAAGTTATTTAACATATTAACAGATTGTAGAGAATCCAAGAAACATATTATTTTCACCATAATATTTATTAAACTATCGTCTTTTAAAGATAAATATCAAAGTTTGGTTTATCATAGTAATTGGAACTATACACGTGGGCTATTTTCAAAAGGTTGGATCAAAACATGCAGTTAAACTTTAAGCTTTTACAACATTTTATTATTCAATACACAGTATGAATGTTAGAGTAAATTTATAATTATGCCTAGAGCCAGGAATGAACATAAATTTTGTATACACTACAAAAAATATTTTCCCTCCAAAAATGGCCAATTTTAAACATTTATGATGTTAGCTGAACCAATGTAACACCATTATTTTCAATATTGCATTGACGTTTACAAATAAAAAGTTTTTTTTTTAAAAATTGTGTCTAGACGTTTCTCTCCATGAAAGAAATCAAAAAAATTGTCCATTCAGTTTGTTTATAAGTACCTGTTGGCATGTACCTGTCAATGCAACAGCAATGCGTGAAACGTATGTTGACCAAAAAACACGCTGTAAATGTCACGCCTTTTGTTTTCTAAGAATGGGAATGAAGAATTAAAATTTCTAGACGACGCTGACTCAATAAAACTTAATGATTTTTTGTTATACAAAATTTGAAAAAAAAAAACAACACCATCGTGTATTATGTTAATAGAGTGGAAGTTGTTTATCATGATGCATTTAATGATGTTCAATTCTCAATAAGAAAAAAAACGGACGAAATTCTTTTAATCATGAATCTTTCCTTTTTTTCACCCAAATAAAAAACATTTCTCAAATCTTAAAAGAAAAGAAATAGATCCCAAACTGCCATCCCCAGCAACTGTTGGAAGTATTAGAATTGCAAATCAGTAATCATTTAGAATGAACGTGCTTTATTTTTTTTGATTAAATAAAAGCAAATTTCAAAATGTTTTTAAAATAAATCAATTTGAATAATTGTTTTCAAATGTATTAATTTGAGTTCAAAATGTGTCTTTCTTACTAAATTGAATTACTCAATTACAAATTAATATTTTAATTAAGATATGTCATTATAAATTCCCGAGTAAGGCTTACATTGAAATTAATATCATTTTGACGGTAGTTGTAGTTTTTTGAGTTGCAATAAATGAATAAGTCTTGCTGAAATGTGCAAAACATATTTTCTTGCATTTAAAAACCAAATTATTATCTAATTTAATCCTTTTTCAATAAATAAAAATCATGAATATAATCTGTAATCTTTTTATACCATGACCTTGAATTGAGTGCGGAATAAAATCAATTTTTAAAGATTACCTCAACAACTGCCAAACGTTTTGGCATAGAATTCGAAAACCGTTATAGGGTTGCTAATGTTTTGGATTCATTCAAACTCGCTATTATTTTTCCCGCCAACTCATTTGAATGCGTAAAGCTAAGAAAACGAGCTTTGGCATAAAATTTAATCCATTAATAGCCAATACATATGGATTCCTTAACTTTCCTTGGCGAAAACTATTTCAACGTACATATGACACTCACATTTTTGAGTTTTTGGTTGGACGGAGGTGTCTTGTGGGGCTTAGCTCTGCAGCCACACTATCCAGGCCATTTTCCAAGTTTATCATTTGATAATGTATATTTGTATTAAAAATTGAGACTAATTTTTACTTTGGAGCTCTCTATAAACTTCAATTATAAAGCATTTATTTTATTATAGCTTGATACTTTATGAAGGAATTTAAGATTTTTGTTAAATAATGGCTTGCTTGCATCAGTCCGGAATAAAATATGGACATTTTGAAATGCATCAATAAAATTCTTCGTCAACGAATGATAAATGCATAGAACCTCATCAACTTATGGCTAATACACAGGTACCATCCATCGACAAAATATTCCTCGATAGAATAAATAGTTAGTAAGCTTGTCCACAAGCCACATTGCTTGTCCACACTAGTTGCGTGCAGTCAGTGGGACAAAAACAACCTTTATTAAAAAAATATTATGGAAAACAAAAACAACAACATTGTAATTCAAGAGATAAAAGAGAATGTATATATGCTTTCAATTTATTGTAAGAAAAATTCTTCATGAGTTAAAAAGTATGGTAAATATGGTTTTGTGATAAATCTGTAAAAAGACTTCTTCACACTAGTCTCCCTTTTCCCTAAATTAGACGCATGCTGATTCTTATTTTTCCGGCTCCAATTCATCGATATTATATATTACATAAATACTTCTTTATTTTGAAAATGGATTCCAAATAAGCTTTAACAGTCAGAGTAAACTCAGTAACTCAACAGCCCATAGAGGGCCAAAATTACTGGACTTTGGGTTGCAGGACCAGATGTTCCGGCTGGAAGGTCAGCCGAACGTGGAGCCCCCAGTGTTTAGTCCCAAGCATGTACTCATTCTCTTGAAACAATGAAAGGATTAAAAGTTGGAATACTATTCAGAAAAAAAAGGGAAAAAAAAACATTAGAAAATACTATTTACTCATCTAACCGCTTTCCTTACCAATTTTTTTGAAAAAAAAATGCAAAAAATCAACATATTTTTTTTTATTAATAAATATAAAGAACTAAAACTAAACACAAGTTCTGAGTTGAAATTTCAATTTTTTTACGTGTAAAAAATATTTAACTTACCACCAGTTTACTATCCCAAATAATCTCGGGCAAATGAAAAAAGTTAAATATTAGTCTTTGTATCTGTTCACATCTTTATAATCTAAAAAAAAAATCATCTGCATTTTTTTCACTTTCACTCGCGAAGGTCATTTTTTTAATCTTTTTTTCTATGAAAATTCATCAACCATCGTATATACAAAACGCGTCCACAGTCCCACAAATAGCAAAACTCCAAAACAAAAATTGCCAAACTTCCAATCACGACAGATTATTATTATTTTTTGTTTTGCAACCGGCCGAATAAAAACGTGATAAAACAGAACGTATTGGCGAATGCTATTATGACCGAGCTTACTCGGGATAATAAATATTTACTATATATATGCACTAGAGGGGCTCCGCCCCCTGCTCATTACCGCTCGCTAACCCCCGATAATTACTACGCAATTACATTTTTGTTTGCTTCACGAACAAAATTAAAGTCTTTTTCCTGGAGATTAGCTGGAAATTTTTCTGCATTAACCTCACATAGAGAGAATATGATAAGATTGTAAAATGTCAGAGGTGCTTATTATCAACATTATAAACTTATATAACGCAATTTTAATGCAAACAATATTATAAACTAAAGCAAGGAAGCAATATTATTTAACACATTACTACAGGGCAGTGTTTCTCAAAGTGTGGTACGCGTACCCCCAGGGGTACGGGAACAGTTTAGCTGGGGTACGCGTTCTTGCAACAAACAAAAATTTCGAAGAATTTCATTTAAAAATAAAACTAGGCATAAAAATTTACGATTATATATTTTTCTATAGGCTACTTTTTGCAGAGTAATAGTAACGGTTAATAATTAGTGGTGTCAACAGCCAGTTGTGATTTTTTAACTTTAGTAAGAAATACATTCATTATTTTTATTAGTGGTACACAGCGTTACGAAAAATTTAGAAAGGGTACACAAAAGTCATAAGTTTGGGAAGCACTGATATAGGGCATAGATTAATCTCCGTATCCGAAGCAAGCGTGGCAGAGCCTAACTCAAATCATTGATGATCTTATAGGATGCCGGAAGCTCCCTATATGGTGCTACATCCTCCCCCCCCAATAATTTAAATTTTAAACTAAAAAAATTAAAACCTACTGAAAAAACGAATTTTAAAATATGGCAAACAAATTAAAACATGTAATATTAATAAGTTGATGCTGAGTAATATTTCAAAAGCAAATACCATTGCAGGTAATTGCCCAATTAACTTCAATATTGTCAACTGGCAAAATATTTTAGTTTCAATCAGACAAAAAGCAAATTATATAATAAAAACATATGTAACTGAAATTCGACAAATTAAATAACTGCGTTCTATCAAAACAATCACTTTATTATAAAACTTTAGAACAACTATCTTTTAACATTGCCACTCAAAATTATTAATAAACACTGAATAATATTGCGTTAATGACACTTTTATCTAATGACGCCATAAACAATCGTTTGCACAAAGTTTAGTTCATAATTATCATATATAATCGTTTGCATAAATAATCGTTCGGTCTTTTTATAGCTCTAAGTAACAAGTGTGAGATTTTTTTGTTTTGTTTTGGAATGGCAAAGTTATAATTTTGTTGCTGAGTTAATAAATCTTCCTTTTTATAAACGTAATAGTAGAGTTTTCTTATTTATTTGATTCGAAGTCCTCTGAGTTTTATTTGAAGTCAGTTTGTACTTTGTATTTTTTGACAGCAGTATTAAAAACTTCACACACATGCGTTCTCAATTTTGATTGGCTGTTTTGTGCGTTACTAACCAGAAGTCTTTTGTGATTGGCTATGTGTTATCATTCCACTGTCTTCTTATATATAAAGATATACCCTAGTTAACTCGGGATAATCTGGGAAGATGTTTAGTAAGAAAATCATGGACATGTTAGTGGAAATTAGATGAATAATAATGCAACTAAGAAGACAAATATTTATTTACAACAGAATTATACATATACATCGCATAAGAAATTCACTGCCAGAGTGAATAACAGTTCATGGGTCTTTATTCACCAAAAAGAGGTTCGACCAATCCCTTTGGCGAAATTAGCCAGGGATACACAGGGTGGCTGAGAACATCCTGTATTCTGCGTAGGCATGTATGACGTAGTACCATCCATATTGGGCATCCTGAAATATTAATGCATAATAATAAAGCACACTTACTTTAAAAAATTACAAAATACAATAGATGAAATTAATTAAAGATAATCAATAAAAAAGATATTATTTGAAAAATGTTTCATATAAAACAAATGCCTCATATTCTTGTCAATTTTATGTGTTTAAACGTTTTTGGTGTTCTTTCTAATGCCACTTGCCAATCCAGGTTGCTTGGTGAAAACCAGCCCATCTGAGGGTGTGTTTCTTGTTTCTCAGTGGCGCTATCTACGGCCAAGAAAACGACTTCAGCTCCACACACTCGTCACGACCGGCTTATAGGGCGGACAAATTTATACATCCATTCATTCATATGAACATCGCAGTTTTGATCTGAACCAGAGAACGATCAGTCTACAAATCAATACCCTCAGAGGTATGATCTGTCATCGGAACATGGAGGACTTTGTGACCAGACAGATTTAACGTCCACCTGTCCCATTTACCACATGGGGAGTCTTCTACCGGCTGGGATCAAACTCACGACATTTCAGACGTGGGCCCAACGCTCCTCCAACCAAGCTATCCTAGTCTCTTAAAAATTTTTAATCCATAAAATTGAAAAACCTTTTCATTTTATCGAAAAAACTGAAAAATCAGTTCATTTTTAAATATTGATCTATTTAATTTTATTTTATAAACGGAGTTGAACAGCCGACCAAGTTCTGAGTTAACGACTACCAATGTCAACTCCGCAGCCTTGTAATTTTGAACCCAATCCAGAAGACAAGGTGATCCAATCTTTTGTGTTTACGATTACTAATGTTCAACTCCGAAGCCTTTCAATTTTAATACCAAAACAGAAAAGGGAACTGCTGAATCAAGTATTGAGAGAAATTTGCCTTCGAGGTGGACTTTTAGATGGAACTAACTCGCATTTGCGTTACATAGAGAGAAAAACCGCGAAAACCTCGCGCGGTTATCCTGACGGCAAAGGGACTCTAACCCTTCATCCTTCTACCGATGAGGATATTTTAAGTCTGTACTAGTGCGAGCTGCACTACTGCGGAAGTGCGAGCTGGGTGCGGAATTCGTATCGACCAGCCATTACAGAGATTCGAATCCTCACATCATTGGGAAGTGAGTACTCCATCCTCTGAGCCTAATGATTTACCTACTGACTTTATGCTCACGCTTGTTTTGTGCTCTCAACGGTCGGAGGCAGTATTTGCAGAGGTTGTTTCAACTTCAGGTAAGAAGATTCTCTTGTATAGATTTCTACTTTCTTCTCGCTCTATTCCCGAATATATTCTCGAAATATTTGTTTGCAAGTTGCAGTAATTGTTCTGCTTTTGGGTGCACTGCGCGTCAAAGCACAAATTTATTATCTATAGATATAATAAACGTAATTAGGTGATACAAGCACTGCCCGAATCTTTCATCTTAAAGTTAAATTCACTGATTATTCAGTATAATATTAAAGAAAAAAAAACAGAACGATAAACATTTAAAAGTTTAAAAAAAAAAATCGGATCGCACATATAGAAGGTGAAGTTAAAAAACTGACCTGTTGCCACATAACATAAATATTAAACTGTTATTTTTTTCTTTAATTGGCTACTTGCATTTCAAGAAGAAGAAGAAGATCACAAGTACCCACGCATGTGACCCATGACGTTAGTTGTAGTGCTTTTGGGTGCACTGTTCTTCAAAGCACTAATTTATTATCTATTTATATGGTAAATGTAAATTAAGTTATACAAACATTGTCTGAATCTATCATCTTAAAGTAAATTCGCTGATTATTCTGAATAATATTAAATAAAAAAAAAAACAGAACAATAATCATTTAAAAGTAAAAAAAAAAGTCGGGTCTCACATATAGAAGTTGTAGTACTGACCTGTTGCCAGATTATATAAATATATAAACTGTAGTTTTTTTTTCTTCAATGACGTGTTAAAGTTGAGCTAAGCTTTTCCACATAAGTAATGTTAATTAACGTGAAATTAATTAAATACAAAACCGTATAGCACATCAAATTTGTTGAAATATAATTCTTTATCATCTACGCCCTTTACTTAACTTAAATTTATTACTTATTCCTGCATTTTATTTTAACAGTAAAATATTTTTGCTTTTTGAACCAGGCAACTTTATTACATAATTAATTTATGTTCCTCATGGCTTCGTGCCTCTCTTAGTGTTAAATAAGAAATATATAGTGAAAGAATTAAAATCTTTGTGAAAGAACATAAAATGAGTCTCTTAAGAGTTAAGATAGTTGACAGGTTTTGCTTACTCAAAATAGAATGGAAAAAACAGTTGCTAACGTAAACGAATACCCCGTTACAACAACCAATCAGGATGGAGATACCCACTCTACGTCACTTGCTGGTTTCCAATTAACGTAACTCAACAGATACTTTAGAACAGTACCGTAGTCAATGCGAGCCGGAAGCCGAATCATCGAACTTGGTTCGCTTCATTAAGAGGCTCCTCAGAGCCCACCCTGCTCGTATTTAGTATTTATACTGAGTATTCATTCCTAATACTGATCTTAATGGTAAAGGGGGAAAAAAAGAATAAAATATTAGTGAAAAATCTCGTATAGTATTTGCTAGGTACTATAAAAGAATTTAGTAAGCCCTATATACAGATTAGATATAGAATCATAAATATAGGCATACTTACGCTATGATTGTATTTCCTCCGACTTTAACTGGAATGGGAATTGGGATCGGTAAAGGCAAGAAGCTGTTTCTTTGCATTGAATTGGCGAGTAAGGCGGCTGCCATGATCTTATGCATGTGAAATGAGTGGCCAAGATGACAAATTAAAAGCAACAGCACCGCCAACCACAATAACGAACGAATTTTTAACATAGTTCACTTTACACCTAAAAGCATTAAAATCCAAGTTAGCAAATAGTTATGTGAAATACATTTCATGCCATTAAAAAAATCTAATAAAATATAAATTGTATTATAATCAATAAAGCTCAGTCAATCAGATCGCTGTGAGTCAAATTTTTATGGAAGGTTGATTAGATAAAGCATTATGATTCTGGGTTTAACAAACTTGGTTTAAAGTATAATGTTTCAAAATTATAATAACATCTTTTAGAAATGGTACTATAAGAAATTTTCCAGCGTCTGTGTTAATAAACACAGTAGACAAAATAGAAAATCAGAGACTTATCCATTTTACCGGTGTAAGTAAATTCAGCTATTAAATTTATTTATGCTTTCATTTTTTTTATTTATTAAAATGAAAAGTTTAAAAAAATTAAATGAATAACGAAAGAATAAAGAATGAATTTACTGTTTTTTAATACTGTAAAGTTAGGCAGATAGAAGAAACTGTGTTACATTTTCATATATAAAGTTACAAGACAAAACAATCGAATGCTAAATAGTAAGTTACATAGCAAGATTTTTTATGGTGCACAAATAACTTCTAAAGTTTTGCTTTCATTGCCACTTTTGACTATTTTGTTCATTGTAATTTACAGTAAAAGATATTATGAATGATTATGTAAATTACAATTTATAATATTCACTTGTCATATGCCTTTTTTATATTATAATACAGATTTTTTTTCACTAACCGACGGACTAACAATTTTTTTCTTCATTTCATAGCAAATGAATAGATGTAACTAGTGGGGATAGATAGTGATGAAGCTATAAGGGCAAGTCCACATTAATAGAGTCTTTAAGTGATATTAAATTTATTTCAATTCTAACAGGAATTTTCTTTTCTGATTTACCTCTAAACTCCTTTTCTAAGATACTTCACTGTGAAAATTGAACACTCAAATTTTACAAAACTTTTTTCGTTTTTGACGAAACTGTTCCCTGGTATATGCTCCGAGTGAGCAGAGTGACAAAATAACTATAGTCACTTCTTTGAGGAAACAAATTTCACCAACAGTAAAGAAATATTTTTTCATACTATTTTTTTTCCAAAAAAAAGAACCCTCGTAATACCTAATTTATCCAATTTTTGTAATAATCACTTTATCGTGGGCACCACGTAGTATGATCAATGTCTCCCCAACGACACAAGAAGGACTGATAAATTACACATGTGCCTAAAGCGGGTTTCGTATCCGGCGTCCTCCTGGTACGAGGACAATTCCTTGACCACCATACAGCCGAACGGCTTGTTTCGTCCCTTTATTTTCGATCCTAGTCTTCATTCTAGTTTCATTTTAGTTACTCTCCCACAATTGTGATGAGGTTTCGAGTTGAGGGGACGTTTTTGTCATATGTTTCCCCTATTTGTAACAAATCCCACGATTTCGTGACGAAATGATTCTCCAAGTTAACACAATATAGAATTGCTGAATCTTCAAAAGTGAGAATTTTATTTCTGAAAGTGTAGTAGTATTCAGTTTTCATACAGATGAATTTGCGTTTTATTACATCATATAGTGGTATTAATAACTGTATCAAATAATCAAAGTTTGTTATTTTTATTGGTTATTACTATTGCATTTTTAGTGAAACTATCTGGGTTGCCTACTTCTACGCTTTTTACAAAATATTATATAAATTGGTAGAGTTTGGTTGCTAAAAACTAAAGGTTTATAATTTTTTTGTAATTTTTCCAACAATTTTAAATCTACACAGCAAGAGAACTGGAACAAATTATTTACCACTACATATAAACTTTGAATAATTTTGAATATAATGTAGTGGTAAGGGATATAAGTTCAAAAATCAAGTTTAGAAAACAAATTATCATACATTAAAACTAAAACTTAGCTACATTTAGAGGTAGTTTTCCCAAAAAGCGTAGAAAGTTGGCAGCCCTGAGCTGGTGTGGACAGAAAAATTAAAAAAAATAATATTGAAGAACTATACTTGCAAACTTAGTTTTCAAAATGAAGATAACTGTTCACATTTTGATACATAATACGTTAGAATATGCTCTTTATTTTGAACATATAATGTATGTAATCTATTGTACATTCAAAATAAAGATTATAATGATTTTTTGCAAATTAATATAAAGCGTCCATGCTAGTCGATTCCTCTCGTATATAGTTAGAAACCTCTGGAACATTCTAAATTTTTCAGAAAGAAAAAAGGAAACAATTACGCAGCTTCTACGACCATCGACTAGTTCAAGGGTCCTTTGCAAGAATGGGTGCGATTGCCACAGAGACCTTGGTAAACAGTATGAAAGGCCAATGCGAAAATTGTGTAGCTGTTCTACCATTTACCCTAAAACTTTATTTTATAACCGGTGTTGAGCAATCGACCCAATTCCGAGCTTACGAATATCAATGTTTAACTTCATGACCTTTTTATTTAAAACCCATTCCAGAAGACAAGGAAGCTTCTGGATCAAGCATTGGGAGAAATGTATCTTTGTGGAAGACTTTTTGACGGAACTAACCAGAGTTTTCCTAACACGGAGAGGAAAACCTCGAAAACTCGGTTAGCCTGATGGCAAAGGGACTCTAACCCATATATCAGCAATCGGCGATATGTCAGCAATTTGGTTGGTGCAAACTTATACTATAAAGAAAACATATCAAAATAAAAACTCTGTCTTACCAGACCTCTAAACGTTGAAATGACATAAAACAGAAATAAAACCTACTTAGCGTAATAACACTGTCAACTTTAAAAATAGTAGATCGAAGAAACAAAGAAAATCAAAGAAACTTTAAAAATAGTAGACATAGATCAAAGGAACCATTTTTTTCTGATTTCTTATTGCCAAAACCGTTTATGAATTAAAATAAATATAAATATATGAATTAAAATAAATGAATTCCTAAAATTTAAGTCAAATTAAAACCAAAAATTTTTTTAACAGTCTTATATGAAGCATTTGTCACCTCATTTTAAATTTTCCCAGTCTGTGGCTCAACCAGAGTAAACTTAATGTTACTACAGCTTTTACATTATTCTAAACCAGTAGAATCTACTCGTATGTTTTATACTCCGTTACAAGTTAAGATAAGACCATTGGGGTACATGATTTAAGTAATCATCGGCAACTGTATGCAGTTCAGTTTTATATTGCTATCAAATCATTCAAATAAGCTTTCAAAACAATATAAAAGTTTTTAAAACTTAAACACGTGAGACAGAAATTTAATTTGTGCTATCTTTTACTATAAATATATCATAGAATTATTAAAAAAAAGGTTATAGTTTCTAGTTTGACTGGAATCCCAGACTCTGCGGACTGAACAAGGAGAAAATTCGTTTTTGAAAACGAAACGGCTATATGAAGAAGAAAGAGCATTAGATTTGATTGGACAACAAAAAATGACGTGTATTAGGCTGACATGCTCTTAACAAATCAAATGCGAGATAGAGAATTTTAATTTTTGTTTCGTAATAGAAGAAAACGTCTGCACGAAACAATGTTTACCATTCTTTCATCAGTTTCTTCAAATGCGAACAGAAAGACATATATTTGTTACAACTTTTAAATAACATTTTTATTAATTCTTACTACTTGTTAATTGATTATTCTTATTAATAAAACAGCAAGAAAAAAAGGAGGCTGAGCAACGTCTTTCAAGAATTGGCGACGATGATACACGTTAGCGCTAGGAGCTTGGCATCCATTTGGCATACGCTTTGACGAAAATAAGTTCTCTCCATGAGGATTATGGTTTTTCTTAACTTGCAACAGCGTGTAACATAAATTAGCTTTTGATTCTGAAATTCTTTTTATTCTGGACACAACTCAAAATACGTGTTTAGGAAAATGAACATATTTAAGAAAATGGACAAAGCATTTGGTTACATTTACCTAACTTCTCTTATGAAAATTATTCTATAAAGAGTAAATAAATAGATTCACATAAATCCGTAATGTGATGTCATTTGCTTGCTTATATCCCCTTGTACTTTTCTTAAAATTTAGTATTTTTTTGAACAGATATTAAAATTAAACAGTTATTCCTACAACGTATCTTATTTAGAATGGTGATATTGAATTTAGTTGCGGGAATTTAGATTTTTAAACACTACTTGTTAGCCTTCATCGTTTCATGATCTGAATACGAAGAGATCGCTTTTGTTTTATTTTATAGCCGTCGTTGGACAGCTGACCCAATTTTAGGTTTACGACTAATAATGTTCAACTCGGTAGCCTTGTAATTTTGAACCTATTCCAGAAGACAAGGGAACTTCCGGATCAAGTATTGGGAGAAATTTTGACGAAACTAACCCGCAGTTATCTTACATGGAGGGGAAACTAAAAAAAAAAACCTTCCTCGGTTAGTTTACAAGAAGGGGACTCTAACCCATAATCTGTCCACCATCGAATTATTTTGCATCATCTCGGTGGTCGGTGCGGACCGGGTGCGGAATTCAAATCCGCCAATCATAACTAGGATTCAAATCTGGTTTACCTCATCTGAAGGCGAGCGCTCTATCCCCTGACCCACCACACATCTGTAATTTACCCAGCTACCCCTGCCCCAAAGTTATGTACGTGTTTAACGACCCGCTCTCTTGTTTAGCATTTCCTTAAATTAAAAAAAAGCAAAACTTTCTTCTTCTTTTTTTAGTTCAGGTAGCACATTTTAAAAGAAATAAAAGCTTCCTTAATAATTGTGATCAAATATAGCCTAGAAGAATTTTCCAAAAAAAAAAGAGTTTTTGTTAAAAGCCGTTGGATTGTAAATAAGCGTCCGGTTCTTTGCCCCTTAAGCCACCAAGGCTCTTTCAGAAATATTATTAAAAATAAAACTGCTGAAAATTTTTTAACTCTCGAAACCTCATTAACTTTCTTACCGCTGGTCTAGACCACATTAAATTTATTGAAGCCACTAATTTCTTGTCCAATTATGAATATTGATATTGTTATTAAAATAGATACTTATGCTTAGATTTTTGAAATAAATGTTAATATTCAAACAAAGCGGCTACTACTTTTTACTTTTCGAAAATATGAATGAGATATTTAAAGCAATTGTTCGTAAATAAAGGTTAAACATTTAAATGGATTCATTGATTGTAATGATATCGGTACTACACAAAGCGTTTAAATACATATCACAATTTCGAATGTAGATTTTAGTTTAAACAAAAGAGGAAAAAAGAAAACAAGAAAAATACGTATATGTTAAAAAAAATAACAAAAAACAAATCTGGAATAAAATTTTGCCATAGTTCACGTGATTTTGAATGGTCAGTAATGGCGTGTTGTGTTTCATGACAGAAATTGCAGGTTTGGTAAAATGTCTCTTACCTGAAGGTACATAACAGCAATCCATTCCCAACAAACAAATCTAAGAATGAAAAAGGATTCTACTTTGCGTGTCGCTTTTTCTTATTTTCCTGAGGCACCACACTTTGGGAATTGGAGCACTCCGACACCCCTTTTCCACGCTCTGTCAATGATATGGAACATATTGTGATTGCACTTGAATTTGAAACTTTTTATAGGCCTGAAGCTACATTTCTCTGAGAATCTAATTCTCATCGTTTTCACTAAATAGGGAATATCGTCTGCTTCTCATACGTAATTTATGGTATAACATGTGTTCTTCAACATAATTGAAGACGTTCTAGCTTGTTGCTTTCTTTTTCCTTCTATTTAATTATGAATGCCCAATTCGTATACGAAAATAGTTGGAAAAAGGGATTTCAGAATATTTATAATAGCCCTGAAAGAATGAATGATGTGTTTGTTACGTTGTTCATTCGGTTGAATAATTCCTGGGTTATCGTCTTGTTACTTTCACGATGATTAAAAATGTAGGCTTATATATATTTTTTGGGGGGGGGGAGAAGTACATAAGATGTAGTGAAACCTCTATTTATTTATTACTAAAATAATAGCAGTAGAAAATGGTATTGAAATTTCTTTATTTATAGCTTTTTTCGGAAGGATTGAATGTCCACGATATTCAGAACTTATTGGAGTAATTTTCCGTCTTTTTTTTTTTTTTGTAATAGTATTGTATATACGTTATAACTGTTGATTAGATTTGGTAGCCAGTCATTCTTTTTAGTTCTACCAAAAAGCAGCTCGACATGAAATGATTTTATTAATTGCTTTTTCTCTTTTCGAAGGAACAAACAGTCATGTTTACATGACAATACATTAACGTCTAAATGTTTACTACCTTAAATATTTCGTATACAGTGTGGAAAGAAAAACTGACCACCCAGAATGACTTTTGATCTAATTATCAGATCTTTACGTTCTAGGCGTCAATCTTAGTAGTTCAAGGAGGTAACTTCAAATAAGCTAATTAATTAGCGCAGACGAAATTTTTTAAATAATGAAAGCAGATACAGATACTTACTTTCTCTGAATAAGCATTTTTTTCCCAACTGGTTAGGAATTCTGACCACCCAAAACATAGGGGTAGCCGCAATCTGTGAAATATTGTCCCCATAGTTTGATCAAGAGAGTGATTCAAGGTTTGGACACTTTCATGTTAATTTTATTTTTTGCGTATTTCGCCTTATCTCGAGAACTTTTAAAGTGAATATAAAATTTCATAAATTTTTTATATTTATGAAATTTGTTTATCCAAAGATAATTCCATGCAAAAACTACATGTTAGTAAATATATATAAATTTTTATTATTTAATTTAATAATACTCAAAAAAATTAGGAATTTTTAAAGTAAAAATTTTTAACATGAATGTAATTTTACATGGCAAAATTCGAGCGAAACTACAAAACTTTACTAAACTATACGACTTTCTTAAAATGCGATTTCTCAGAAACTATTCGACCAATATTGCGAAATTTTGTATTCTGTCATGTAAAATGACATACTTTGAAATGATGTTAAAATTGTCTTCCTTACAATTCAAAAATCTTTCGAGTATTATGAAATCAGACACTAAAAAATAATAAATATTTACTGAAATTTATTTTTTGCACGGGATTATCTCTGGACAAATAAATTTTATAATTGTATGCAAAAAAGTTTTCAATCCCACTCAAAATTTCTCGACATATGGCGAAATACGCAAAAATTAACAATAAGAAGTCTATACTTTGGATCGCTCTCCTGATCAAACTATGGGCACCATATTTTACAGATTATGACTACTAATTATATTTCGGGCGTCAGAAATCCAAATCCATTGAAAAAAAATGCATGTTTATTTAGAGAAAGTAAGTTTTTGCGTCTGATTTCGTAACTTTAAATATCGCCTGCACTAATTAATCAGCATATTTGACGTTATTCTCTCGAACCAATAGGAATAAAAACTATGAAATTTATAAAAATAAATTTTTTTAAACGAAATCAGTTAAACAAAAAAAATAAAAATATGATTTTTTTTGAAAAATTTCATTGTTTTAAGAAGTAATTCTATATTATATAAAACGCTAATACGTATGTATGTATGTATCAATAAAACCGATGATATTTCTTTTCTCGCGCTGGCAACAGTTTAATGAAATTGGTTGGATTCGGCGCGCAAGAGCACGTAGTGAGCAACCAGATAACAATAACCAGAGTGAGCATTATCAGGTTGTTCAATTCAGATTCATGCACTAAAAACATGACAATATTTAATTTAAACTCAATTAGGAATTAATTAATTAATTGAAGTGAGAATGCTTTAAAAGGCCGCTGTTGAATTGATATTTTTCTACTG